AAGAGTGGGGCGTCTCTCTTGTACTCGTCTTCGGAGTAGTTCTATACGCCCATATTACTTTTGGAAGTATATCCGGCCATAGTCCCTTGGCGTCTTCGAGCTTTTTCTTCATGATGTTTAATATGGATTTGTTGGAGGATTCTGCCTGACCGTTACCCGCTGGGTGATACGGGGTTGAAAGTATCCTCTTAATATGCCATTTCTTGAAGAATTTGGCGGTTTTCTTCCCCATAAATTGGGGTCCGTTGTCACAACTGATCTCCTTGGGTAGGCCGAATCGGTAGATGGTTTTCCTCCATATAAAGGTGATTACCTTTTGTTCGCATATTTGAGCGAACGCACCTGCTTCCACCCATTTAGAGAAATAGTCAGATTAAATCAAAAGGAATCGTACGTTACCTCGCCCTGTTGGGAATGGGCCTACGATGTCCATTCCCCATTTGATGAATGGCCATGGAGAGGTGACTGAGTGGAGATGTTCGCCTGCTTGGTGAATTATTAGGGCGTACTTCTGACATTGCTCGCATTTCTTCATGAGCTCTGAGGCGTCCTTTTTCATTGTGGGCCAATAGTATCCTGCCTGTATGTAACACCTAATAAATGCTCGGTTGCTAGAGTGAGCACCGCAATGGCCTTCATTCACTTCTTTGAGGACGTGCTGGGTTTGGTTTGGGCCCAAACATTTCGCCAGAGGGCCGCCGTATGTCCTCTTATACAGGTCTCTATAGAGGAGACTGTATCTAGCTGCTTGCATTCTCAGTTTCTTGGCTTCCTTTTTGTCGTTTAGGAGTGCGTCGTCCTGCAAATAGGCAATAATACGATTGCGCCAATCCCAAGTTAAGCTTACAGTTCTTACCTAGATTTGGTCTAGCGATGAGTTGAGGAGGTAGACTACACTTTTAACCCCGGTCATGATTCTTTTGGTAGCTGCAACCAATTTGGTGAGGCCGTCCGCTTCGGCATTCTGTGCACGCTGGATCTGGTCGAACTGGAATTCGTCAAACTCGGGTAGCAGCTTACAGATCTCGGTCTGATATTTTTGCAACCTTTGTTCATTGATTTGGAAAGTCCCTGTGACTTGGTTAACTACGAGCTGGGAATCACATCGGAGTTTCAACCGCTTCACCCCATACTTGAGTGCTAGCCTCAATCCTATAATTACAGCCGCATACTCGGCCATTTTGTTAGTCATATCCGAGAATCTTATGGACTGGCGAATTACTTCGCCTGTAGGGACCTCGAGTACAAGTCCCAATCCTGATCTGGAAGCGTTGGATGCTTCGTCGGTGTATAGGACCCAAAGGTCTTGTATTTGGAGGGAAGCTTGGATGGCTTCCTTCTCGACTTTAGGAATTATCTTTGCACTGAAGTCTGCGAGCACTTGCAACTTTATCGTCGTTCGCGGCTAATATGTGATATCATTCTCTCTTAGCTTGATGGCCCACTTGTCCAGCCTCCCCGATAGCTCGGGTTTATGCAAAATGCCTCCTAGGGGAAAGGTGGTAACGACCGAGATAGGGTGGCACTGGAAATAGGGCCTAAGCTTTCGTGAAGCTATGACTAGTGCCAGGGCTAGTTTCTCGAGGTACGGTTACCTCGTCTCAGCGTCGACGGGTGTTTTGCTAATGTAATAGATAAGAGATTGCGTACCTTTGCTTTCTCGGATCAGGACTGCACTTACTTCTACTTCGGAGACGGCTAGATAGACGAGGAAATGTTCCCCGGGTTCGGGCTTTGCAAGCAGAGGCGGTGATGACAGATATGCCTTCAGTTCTCGCAGAGCTTGTACGCACTCGGGTGTATTTTCGAGACAGTTGTCCTTTTTTAGCACGCCGAAAAATTTGTGACATCTATCAGACGACCGCGAGATGAATCTCGATAAGGCGGTGATTCGACCAGTCAACCTTTGGACTTGCTTCTTGGTATTCAGGAGCTCCGGTATCCCTTCGATAGCTTTGATTTGGTCTGGGTTGACCCCGATCCCCCGTTGTGACACTAAGAAGCCCAAGAACTTCCCAGAGGCTACGCCAAACGCGTATTTCTCTGGGTTTAGCTTCATTCCGTACCATTTTAGTATGTCGAAAGCTTCCTCAAATGGTCGATATGGTCCTCTGCCTTTACGGCCTTGACTAGCATGCCATCGATATATACTTCCATGGTTTTGCCGAGCTAATCTTTGAACATCCTCCTGACCAGTCTTCGATATGTAGCCCCCGCATTCTTCAGCCCAAATGGCATGACCCTATAACAATATGTTCCTTAGTAGGTGATGAACGTAGTTTTCTTCTGGTCCTCTTTTTCCATAAGTATCTGGCTATAGCCTGAGTACGTGTCCAAGACACTCAACAACTCGTGCTCGACCATTGCATCGATGAGTTGGTCAATGTGTGGTAACGGGAACGAATCCTTCGGGCATGCATTGTTCAGGTTCGTAAAATTCACGCACATCCGTCATTTTCCATTTTTCTTTTTTACCATCACTACGTTGGCGATCCATTTGGGGTACTTCGACTCCCTGATGGAACCATTTTCTAATAGTTTCTCCACCTCCCCACGGACGACGCCAAACTGTTTGACCAAAAAATATAGATCTAGGTCCAACCAATCAGATTTATGCAAAAATGAGTTAATCTTAGTTAATAATAATATCCTAAAGACAAAATTGTCGTTGCTGTGATAAATAACTTGTATGTTTGTTCGGATGGAAATAAATGTAAACAATAACAGCAGTATTCAATGATCCAAAAAGATGGAATATGGCATTAAATAGTAATAAATAGCAATAAGTGACATTCAAGTAAATAAAGCGTGTGAGTCACCCGAAAAGGGATGAGATCAGTGGATATTCTTTTTGACAATGATGAATGATTGATGAGCCTTTGAATACTTAGGTTGCTCTTGGATCCAGTGGAAATGCTAGACAAGAATCTTGGTGAAAAATGTTCTTTTTGTATCCTTGTGATAGAATCAGATCTGCTCTATAAAGTCAAAGTATATTTTACAAATGAATATCTCATGTCCCCTATCATTGTGTCTCTTTTTATTTATAGGGAACATGTTCCTAGAAACCCTAATAGTATATGTGCAGAGAATATCCACCAGAATATTTTTTTTTATGTCATATCTTAGTATTAGCCGTTATAATTCTATCTAAGATGCTCGACCTCGACCTTGAACTATGGTGACTTTTCGACCGCATCTTTCATTGCTTCGAGGCTACTTCGCCCCGATGCTAATCTTTGTGGGGACCTCACTGATAGCACGTGGCGGTCGATGAAGGCTATAATAATACTGATGTGGCTAGCCCATATCAAAGATATTTTTTAGCCCATACACCTAACATAACTTGTGTTAGTTGTACGAGCCACGTAACAAAGCTTCACGAGAGAAAGAAAGAGAACATTTTCATAATTAATTATAGATTAAGTTTATTTAGTTAGACAAAAATAATCAAAACTTGTGATGATTATAAGCGATGATAGTGTCTTATTTCCTTTGCTTTTCCATCTTGAGACATCCAAATTAGGAGTTAAAGTAGAAGTAGGCAAACCCGAAATGCAAAACTTTTGGATTTTTTGTTTGGATTTTAGATTTAATTTTTAAAAAAAATTAGATTTCAAAATTTGGGACTTTAGATTTTCGGATATCTTATCCATTAAATATTAGCTCATATATCCAATACTAATTACTAAGTTCAATAACATATACCCTACTAAATTCAATATATGGTTTTTTTTCTTTCTTATTAGCGCCAATTTCCATTTTCTGCATTTGTGAACACATACGGCTGAAGCCGCGTTACTATATAATTTGGTATGGTCTTATTATATTTAACTTGTTAATTCGTAGGGCCTTATTAATGTTTTATTGTATTTCCTTAGTAATAAAAGTTTCATTACTTGCATGAATACTTTGTCTGGATGATTTTGGTAAGAATGATGAACTATTAAGCAATTTGACATGAATACTTTACATGTATGTTCCTTTTTTGTACGAAGAACGTATAATTTTAACTTATCGGTTCAAAATTAAAAATTCAAAATATCCAATTCGATTAATCCGAAAACGATCGAATCCGATCTTACTTGGATTGTAATTTTTTCAATTCGAAAATCAAATATTCAAATCAAAATTTTCATATACAATCCAAATTAAAGTGATCGAAAGTAAAAAGTTTAATTGCCATTCCGGCTTGACGAGTCCATTCCCGAGCGAAGTGTAGCAATAGCCACTTTTAAACCCTCTGTTTAAAATATATCCACAATTTATAATGTATTTAAAGACTAGCTAATTATTTTTGAGCTGCTAATTTGTACTGAATTTCTGAACTATTAATTTAAAATTCAGGACATAAAATTCGAACTTTAGGACACAATTTTCGAACTTTAGGACACGATGTATTGAAATTTGAATTTTGAGGTTTAAGGACGTCATGTCATGAAGTTTGAGTGAAATTGGCTAATTTTTAAATATATTGTAAATTGTTGGTATATTTTAAACAATATACTTAAAAGTGGTTACTGTATATCATTTCCACTCCATTTCCATCTCCTCTCTCGATCTAATCCAGACAAAAGATATATCTCCTAAAAAAAAGGGATTGTTTTCATTTTCATCCTACAAGTCTATTACTCCCTCCGTTTCAATTTATGTGAACCTGTTTGGCTGGACACGGAGTTTAAGAAAAAATAAAGACTTTTGGAATTTGTGGTCCTAAACAATTCAAACAGGGGCTCAGAATAGTTGTGTGGTTATAAAAACTTCTCATTAAGTGTAGAATTATAAATTTAAGCAAAACTATTTCTAAATTTAAAAATAAATTATTTTTTTTAGAACGGACAAAAAAAAATAAGTTCACGTGAATTGAAATAGACATAACTAAAACTTACATAGTAGTACTAGTCTAGCATAGTTAATATGGTTAGTAACTTGAGAGAGCATTTTAATATAGACTAGTAGTGTAGTACTAGATATTTGGGGAGGCGGACGTAGACACACGGTAGACTCGTGTCGAAATGCCTCGAACTTAGTCTTACACGCCACTCTCACAAGTTTCCTTTTCTTCCCTGCAACTCTCTCCTACTATTTATACACACAATTTCTACTTCCCTCCTCCTCTCTCTATTTGGTAAGTCAAAACTTTCTTTTTCTTTTTCCTTTTTTGTTATTTTTTTTAATTACTGTACGCATATGATACAACACTGTTGCATCAGCTCAATCTAATTTAGTTCTGTTCTATTTTCTTTTGTTTTTTTCCTAATTTTCACTTCAAATTCTTTTGTTTATTTGTTATTTTGCACTTTGTGATATAACTATTGGTATATCTCTTTGATGTTTAGGATTCGACGTAAAATGGCGTGTACGGAAGTATATTCAATTTCAAGTCCAAAAATGGAATATGTTGAAGGACGGTGCTTTAGTTTTATTAATTCGTCGACTAGTCTAAAATTATGGCCTATGATTCGGAGAACGAACTCTCCAATTCGGAGAAAAAGAAAATTAGGTGTGAGTTGTTCATTGCCAAATACTTTGTCTCCATTAGGATCGGAGGAGGATGCAAGTGTTGTACCTAGCAGTCACTCCTTAGAAGATGAGTTTAGCCACGTCACGAAGTTCAAAATGTCCGATTTTAAGATACGGAATCGTGTCAGCATTGACCTTGGTGGCAGGGTAATTAAATTTCCTATGATTATTCTGTTGGAATAATAAGGGAGTCTTCGTCTTGAAATGAAGATGTAAAGCTATTTGATGTTTAATCTTCGCTTGCATTTTGCAATTGTGGCAGGGCGATGAGATAGTGTTTGAAGCTATGGTGAATGATTCTCATAGGTGAGTATTTCCGTGTATTCCCTCCTTTGCAATTTATGTCAGTCAAACAAATCAAATTTTGAAACTTGTGGTCTTAAACATGTTACTCCCTCCGTTTCCAATTTAGATAACTCCCTCCGTTTCCAATTTAGATGAGTTAGTTTGAATCGACACAAAGTTTAAGAAAAAATAAGAAGATTTTTGAAACTTGTGGTCTTAAAAGCTTAGGTAAAAGTTTTGTGGCGCCATGACATTTGTGTGGTTATAAAAACTTCTCGCTAATGGTAAAATAGGTAAAATGAAGAGTTTAAAGTTGAATTATTTCCAAATTTAGAAACGTATTATTTATTTTAGAACAGACTAAAAAGGAAAGTACCTCATCTAATTTGAAACGGAGGGAGTATAACATACTTTTGAAACTCGTGGTGTTTATCATGCTATAACATTTGTGTGGCTATACAAGTTTGTCATTAAGGATAAAATGATAAGTTTAAGTTAAATTGTTTCTAAATTTAGGAAAGGGTCCTTCTTGGAACAACTTAAGAAGGAAATAGGGTCACATAACTGGTACATGGAGCATAATTTTCAGCAGACGACCAAATTAACACAAACTTACTTTTCCTGATTTCATCAATACATGCAGTCCATTGTATAAGACCAGAGTTGTACTTAGGCAACTTATTAGTGCTCGAGCAAAGCGGAGAGGACGTCGTGCGATAGAGGTTTGTTGCACCTAGCCATCATTTTTTAACTCATGCATCAGTTCTGGAAATGTCCGTGATTTGTCCAATATTAATGATTGCATTTCTGTGTGCTAGGTATTGAAGAGACTGGCACGTCGTAAGCTCATGTATCATTCATACTCGATGCAAGTTCATGGGTATATCTGCTCATCCATGATAGATGAGAACAGTTCATTCACCTTAGTCCTTGGGGTATGCTGATTTTGATGTTAAGCTGATCCTTTATTTTCAAGGGACTATTCTGACTTGATAACATTACTATGATAAGTATAACTAGCTTCGCATGCTTGTTCTCTTAGGTGCTTGAGGAATAACTTAATGCAAGTACTATGGACCTGTTTCAGTGAACATCAGAAGCTTTTTTTCTTTGCATACAGTTAGCAGTAGTAAATAAACTATCTATGTGTTCCTATGTTAGACCTTAAAATAGCTGACATCTTTGAGGACCTTGGTTTTGTTCTCTCAGCATCATGGAAGTTCTTCACTGAGACATTGGCTTCAACGATCTGATTGGCTTCCAACTCTAGAAGCTACTCTTTCTCTAGATCAGGAGTCTGTTAGAAGGGTGGGGGATGATACAATAGGAGGGCCAGCTATTTCTCGACAACTGCGACTAATCCGGATCTTAATGAGGGATCTCTTGATTGGAGTATGTGTTATGTGTCTTTCATTCTTATCTGATCAGGTACCAGATAGCAAGTTCTCTGTTTGCTGATTGATCCTTGATTCTCTCTCTCAGGTGAACTATGTGCACAGTCATGGTCTTGCACATACAGAGTTGAGGCTTGAAAATTTGCACATCAGTCCAGTGGATAAACATATTAAAGTGAGTGCCCCTTCATCTTACCTGTTGTAGTAGGAATTGGACGGTACCGGTACATTAGGGGACAAAGTACCTGTTGCTAATGTTACAATACTATTCAACATGCTTAACCTTGGTGATAGGCATATAACATAAGACCTTCACCTTCTACTGTAAAGGAAAATGTTCAATTACCATGAAAATATTAGTCCCGCCAATATTGCTGTATTTGTAAATAATAATTCTGCAAAATATAAGTTAACGTAATGAAAGAGTATTTAATTCGAGCCCACTGAATTCACAGTGTTTCCTTAAGGAATTTAATCCCCTCCTAGTACCCAAGGTAATGGATTATTTCCTCCCAGGATAGAACGAATCATACACTGGTGTAGCGGTACTTCAAACCCCAGTGTTTC